CAGAAAAGTTTCAGACAAACATACAACATCCATAAATAACATTTAGTCTATTATAAAGGCAATAGTTAGATAAATTGCAAAATAAATACGCACATTTGTGATTACACATAACATTTCAACGTTAACAATGATAATTAAAAATTGTTTGAAACAATATCCTTGTTTGACAGGTAGATAATGAGGTAAAATATGCAGTCGAGTCAGTCAGTCAGCCGCTCGGTTGTGTGGGATGTAAATTATTACAAGGCCATATCAGTCTCTAACTAAATGAACGATAATTGTAAAGAAACTTAATGCCATTAATAATATTAAAATCATATTAAATTACATAGTCTCATAAAGATCACTGCCGCGGTTTATTGCTGTTTTACAAACGGAAATTAACACGACCGACTTAACTTACTTATCTTACTGTATCTACAGTATCTAACGCATCGATATTTATTCGTTTAATTTAAATTGAAGTACATAGTATATAAAAGGATTTCCTTCTCGTTAAGAAGTTTTTATCCATCATTATCTAAACACAGAAACTTATACCCAAGTTTGAAATTTTAAATCTACTATTTAGTTAAGCAAGACTTATACAATGTTTAAATAAAGAATAAAAAAGGCAAATTTTGAGATACCCTGTTCTTATGAAAAGCTATAGGTTGAGATAAGATAATTTTCCCAGAAACGCAACTGCGCTGAGGCCAGCGCTTGGCTTTGGCGAGAAGTGACACCATGTTTCGTGGTGAAAAATTATATTACACTAGCTTTCGCCAGCTGCTTCGCCCGCGTGGACCCTAGGAAAATGTTAAGTGGCATAAAAAGTATCCTATTATCTAAGTCAGCTAATACCCTATCTGTATACCAAATTTCATTAAAATCCTTTCAGTAGTTTCGGCGTGATTGACCGACAAACATCCAAACAAAGAAACTTTCACATTTATAATATTAACAGGATTTACATTTGTTTACATTTGCAATCAACACCATCAATCTATTTAGATTCAAAAATGAATTAACCATTTTATTAATTCACGAAATTGTAAACAACCATTTATTTACTAACTGATTATATTTACGATTAAAATCGACACAAACGTTAAACAACAGTTACAAAAGTGGGCAATAAAAAAAAATATATATACAAAGCTTGTCGGCCATTGAAAACACAATTAAAACTAATCCCGATAAATTTATCATTGTTATCCATCGCACGTTACGTTTTCCAATGTCCCAGATAAAACACTGTGTATTACACAACTGTCAAAGCGCATATTAGTACCAAACATCTATACAAATAAACGATTCATCACATAACAAGTTGCGTTATGATCGTACAGACACCTCTGCGTCGTTTGCCAAGTTTTAAAACGAAAACATTTTGATGGTGAATCATTTTGTTTTCGATTACGTCACATTTGTATTTATCCAGCGGTGGCTAGACGGCATAATTATTTACCTCGATAATTATTATATAGATACTTATTTTTGAGCACGTGTACAAATATTATAGAGTTTTTGCGCTATTATGATTGAATGTGTAACATAAGTATGAAATATCTTACTTTTCAATAAAAAATTTTTTAGTCTAGTATCCTGATTTCTGCAAAAATTAAGGTAACCCTCTACAGTAATAGACATAATTTGCTCGGAGTTCCGATGCAGTCAGAAGACACAGGTGCATTTTTCCTCATAGCACTAATTATATCACTGTTTTACAATGAAAATAATAAAACTTGTAATCGGATCCGAACCGTGTGTGCGCAAGTGCGTGTGTATATGTATAAATGTATAAAGATTTACAAAAATGTAACCTTTGCACGTGTACCCGAATAATAATAAAACGGTACATAAAAAGATCTGATTGAGAAAAATTCGAAAGAGTTTATGAACTTAGTTATTTACTAAATCGCGTTTTGTTACTTCATTTCTTATATTAAACGTTAACTGAGCTTCGACAGATTGATCCTCGAGTCTAAGAGATCACTGAAGGTTATATATCATAAATGAAGTTACAAGTGCCTACATAAATAGTATTTATTGAAATCCCTTCGTATCGTATGACGTATAAGACTTAATCTAGCTAGCTAGCTTACAACTAGATTTAGTGGTCGTACAAAAGCTTTGACGTTATCAAAATAAGGCTACATTCACAACATATATTGATTACTAGCCGTTTTCCAGCGATTTCACCTGCGTAAATTATAACCTATGTCACCCGCGAATATTGTAGCTTACTGTAAGTGAAAGAATTTTTAAAATAAGCTGTTTCGGAGCCTATTCAATGCAAACTATATTTTTTTTCCTGTTTATAATACTATAGTAAGTACAGATAATAATCAATTAGATGTTTGGTCAATTCTATCCAAGAACATTATCCAAGAAATTCAGGAATTCTTTCCAGTTTGCTTCTTAACAGTGTTTGTTGCATAGAAATAACAATTTAACGGTACGACCGGATTATCTATGAAATGATCCAGCCAACAACATTATTAAAGTGTAGTCGATGGTAACTATTTGTAACGACATCGTCGGTTAATAAGCGGTCTTGGAAAACAAAAAATAAACGGTTCAGTTGGCCAACGGAATGTGAAGTCAGCACCACTAGGAACGTTTCAGTTTCGAATGTTGCCAAACAAGCGTAAACGGTATTCGCCTAGTTATGTGTAACGAAACGACCTAGCGAGCGATGTATGACCATAATAAACATCTGTTTTTTTAAACTTCACTCGCGCGTGCACAGATCAAACATTGCCATGTTTGTGTACGTAATGGTGGGGAGCAATTCTATTTCGGTGTGCATTACCGGAGTTTTATTTTTTATGAAATATCTGGTTGTGGCCTTTTAGTGATCCGGTGTTGTTTCGACACCTGCAGGAAGGAACGCTGTAACCCAGCTTTCATAACTTTACGGGAGAACGCGAAAAAGATGAATTAAATGGACGTCAACAAATTAAGCAACATTATTAACTCATTAATAAAACGATTTCAAATTTATAATGTAATCACTGTCATCCTGATATGGAATGTAAGATGTTTTATAATTACATCAATTTGTGAAAACCACGGACTTTTATTAAATCTTATTGGTTAATGAACTGATACTTAATTATAGATCAATGAAACGTCAGGGTCGAAAGCTTCAAATATTATTAATAAGTTTGGGTCGCTAGCCAAAAAGGTCAAGAACTACTGATGTAAGAATTTAAGTGTGAACAACATGGTTTTTATTTGATTTGACTGTCAATAAATGACACAGTCTAATTTTTTAAAATTATATCACTAAATGCACCAAAAGCTGAGTTACAACGTTTTCCCTTGTAGTAATCGAATACACTTGCCCAGATAAGGTTTGCCGCTGTTGATGTAATAGAACAGCCATATGTTCAATGAAAAGAAGGACACTACTTTTTCACAAGTTTTAAGTTTTTATCATAATCTTCAAGAAGTCATATAATATATCATAAAATTAACAAAGTTGCATCCGCAGTCATCAACAATATAGAATATGCGTTCTTTTGCAGACGGTACTAGAAAAAAATATTTTGATACAAACAGTTTTATGCTTAAGTATAACTTGATAGATAGCTTTTCGTCAGCACAACGACACTATAAATATTTTATTACATTATTCAATTAAATAGGTATAACGTAACTAATAGGTATACCTATTTATTTGGGTTGGCTCCATCTAATATTCTCTGTACCTAATGTATTCCTTCAAATTTTAATTTATTATCTATGAAGTAAATAATCTACCGGCGTAAATTGACATATTAAAAGTTTGTTGGCCCATAAATTTTGTAATAAAAAAGTATCGTACTGTCAACAGCACTTCAGACCATACAAAATCGTCAACTTTCTGCACTTGATTTTTTATCACCTGATATATTGTAGTTAGAGTACGGTACCAATTGAGGAAAGCCATATTGTGATTGCCTGACGTGCGGCTGTGTGTACATTTAAAAAACTGTAACTTTACACGTAAAAAAGGATCCATAAATAAAAATATTTCATACTTTACACAATCAATGAAGACTTCTGCCGACTTATGTTAACAGGTAAGTATAAAAATCTAATGTTATATGGGATGTTAACAATAGCTGCAGATATATTTTTATTCAGGTTATATTATATAGTACTCGGCTCTGGGAATACATTAAAGTGTAAATCATTATAGGTTTTATTGTTATTTGGACAAAATTGGATAACGAATTTGGTATATAAAAACACCTCGCTAATGAGACTGGAATTTAATGGCATGCATTAACTGTCTCATAAATGGTAACTTCACGTTATTGATATATTTGTATGATAATAACATTTAAGACATACCAATATGATATGAAACAGCTTGTCAGTAAAACGCACTGGATATTAATAAAGAATTTGTATTTTTATCCTTAAATAAATGAAAACAAATGTATATATCTTTTCTTTTTCTTAATTTCTACTAAAACTTAGTTGTTTTTAACGAAAGTTACCATCTCTCAAAATATTTGCAACTCATTTGCTAACATCATAAAATATATAGCATTATAATTAGCATTAGATAGTAACATAAGGGTTATGATCCTTTTCTATCACGCTTTTATATCCTCTTTTAACCATGCAACGGAAATCGGTGCGGTTTTCACCGATGTATAGGAAATTACATTGTTTATCACGTGTACGATGACGGGGTGGACTAGAAATATAATAAAAAAAGGAAAATGTTGGTAATGCATAAACCCAAAAGGTACCAACCGGAATAGAAATATTAAAAACACCGGTAGAATGGTACGATTGAGTGACATAGGGTATATTTCTTATACCAGTAATGGAAGAGTAGCCAAGTTAGCTTACGATAAAGACGTCTTTAGTTCTACTAATTATATAATAACCATACTATTTGCTTTTCCTTGTATACGTAATTCGTACTTTATATCTAGAGCATAATTAACCAAAATTAATACATATTCAGACATAAAATCATGTGAGGAACGAACTTAAACAAACGTAATACTAACCATTTCTTTTTTGAGGTAAGTAAGCTGAGAGTCGAGGTCCGCCGGCGGCGGGTCGGCAGGTGATGACGTAGGCGTCACTTCCACTTCAGGCTCGCCGTCCGCGAAGCCGCTTAGACTCTTCGGCAACGGTGGAAGTCCTTGCAGGGACATGGTGCTGATCGCACGGAACTGCTTACGCAATCTATACAACGAAAGATGGATCAATAATTGAAAAGAAAAAGCGTAAAGTGCTACCTAATGGCTATTTTATGAGGTTGTATTATTGAGATGAGATTATTGTGAGAAGAAAACGTTCTTAAGAGACAATCCATACCTATTTAAGATCTTCTGAACTCCATTTACAGATTTTGAAAAAAAATGTACAGTCAGCAAAATTTTTTTAAATACCATAGATGACTTTGGGACCAATAACTACTAATATTAAATTTTCAGTACAAATGGATGGGATTTTTTTTGGCGAATTCTGTCATTTTGGAGAGATGGATGGATTACTAACCCATCTCTATAATCTATCTTGTATATCGTTTATTCAACAGAATAATGACGTTATTATTTCAATTTTTATACAAATACTATCTAGGTATAAAATTAGGTCTAAATAATATTTGACTTCTAAAAACATTTGATGAATGAATTGGTTAATGGTCATAGATAAATGGCATGATTGCATATAGTTCATGATTCAGTTTTTATATATAAGATCGCTGAGCTTTTTATAGATACTATGTTATTATGAACGAGGGCTAACTTCAATACCAGGTTTAAACCATTATCCGACCAAAAAAAGTGAACACGTCTTAATTCGATCACAAAGTTTCAAAATTATTAAGGTTTTATTAAGAAAGACGATTGTTGGGCAATCGATAAACAAAAGTATCAAATGAATATGTCTAATATTTTAAATCCTATTGTGTATATTTTTTATCAGTGTGTGTAATGTTTACTTTGTAAATTTAATGTATTTCGCAAGGCATTCAGCCAGTTGCACAAACGTCCATTAAAAATGTTATTAGTTTAAAGGAACGTTACCGATACAGATTTGGCATTCATTAGAGCTTAAAGGCATCATTAAACCATAATGGACGTTTGTGCAACTGACCGATTGGGTATTATCAAAAATAAAATATTATTCTCGATTTAATCATTAACGATTTCATAGAGTTTTCGTCCGAACTTTCCTAGAATCAAACGTACTGCTTTCCTTTTCATTTATATTAAACTAGCTTTCCGCCAGCGGCTTTGCCCGTGTGGTCCTGTTTGATTACATATAAACCTTCTCGAATCATTCTGTATACTGATAAAAACCGTATTAAAATCCGTTAATTTAAAAGATTTCCGGGCACAGACAGCGGGAAGCGACATAATTTTGTAACATGGTACAGAAGGTCCTTAATTTATATTAAAAATCATTATGGATTAGACAAATGTTATCCAAAAGTAAGACATTAAAATTATATGAACTACGCATTCATCTTAAAATTTAAAGCGTCTCCTGAAGAATTGAAAAATATAAGTACGTCATTACTCTGTTACATAATAAATGTGTGATTCTAACAATAAGATCCGTATATTTTTTTTTACAAATTACAACTTAGTTTCATAGTACAAGAATCCCTGCCATAGATTAACGAAACGACGGTGATTTTTTTTTAACTCTTACAAGTGCTAGTTCATTAACTTCAAGTTTATTTAGTTAAGTTATTAGTTTCAAGTTTCATTTGAATACAAATGAAACTTGAAAACAAAACTTGAACCTTTGCGAATTAAATTATGGATTTTTAAATTAATTTAAACAAGGGAGTAAATTATGCAGCACACTCGAGAATTCTGAAATGTATATTCTCATTTTATGAAGGTAAAAAGGGCTTTAATTCGCTGAACTTTATTAATAAGGAAATAAAACAAAAAGGATATGCACATGACTGAATACTTCATAATAAACGTAGTTTGATATCAAAGTTTTTTTATATCAATTCTTACAGGGCCTCACCTTGTTATTGACAAAAAAATGTAATGTAAAACATTGTAATGCCTCCTTTACATAGTTACAAACTTCTAAGCATTAAATAAACAATGTTTTGGTTTACAGCATCGTGCCATTACCGCTTATACTAACAACTGTTATTTGTTTCGTTATTGTCTTGCTACCAGAAATGCGGTGTAAATAATGTTTATGACACTAGCCACGACACACACTTCTGTGTCTAAACTGTGCAATTCACATTAGCCGACACACGAGGAGTCGTGATCGCACTGTTACGGCTTTGTGCTCTTTTAATGACCTACAACAGAGTAAATTTTGTGACTACTAACCGGATAACACGCATAACCCGGTTTCGCGTGCGAATGACCTTTCAAGTAAACCTACCGGCAATAATAGCCACCAAAGATCGGTTTACAGATAATAAGATAACATGCATTAATTAACAATAAAGAAACATATCTACCTAGATTTAAGGTCGTCATCTAATATATACGCGTATGTTTGATCATATCCATTTTCTGTATTCCCACTTGTCACCGAGGACATGGCGTAAATCTGATCGGAGTCCTCAGAATCACACAGTCCATTTTTGTCTGATTCCGACGGAGTGGTCTCCTTTGCATCTATAATTTCAGGCACGTTAGATTGCGAGTGCATCGTTTGTAATTCGTATATTAACATCTCGTGATTGTTCATGTCCTTCATCATTTCAATCTCCGGCGAATCACTGCCGTTAGTCAGATTCTCGGTATCCTTCCCTTTGTCTATGACAGTGTTCTCGTCGTTTTTACTACCGTTTCTACTTGCGAGGATTTCTGAAATTAACATTTCGGTGACCCTTGATGTCTTGCGTTCTAGGGAACTATTATTTTTGTTTACACTTTCGTCACGTATGGGACTTGAAGGGATTTCCGGTTGGTTATTAATCTGTTTAGAAGGGCTGCTTCGTAATCTGTCATCGAATTCCTGAACTTCCTCGACTGAAGCATATGGCGCTTCTGGTACCGGCGTCTGAGGTGGTTTCGCATCTATTGGCGAGGAATAAGGACTTATTTCAGGCGATTGTTTAGGTGAACTACAACTACTGCTTCTAGAGCTTCTCTGTACAGGTAAAGGTTTCATTGGTTTTAACTTAGGTTTAGGCGATAAAGGCGGAGGAGGAGCTTTTCTTAATGGCAACGTTTTCTCAGCAAAACTTGAAGACTTTGATACTTTACATTTCGTATCTTGATCTAATTTATTAGATGTCGAAAGAGATCGAACTAAGATTTGTTTACAAGTTTTAACAGCTTTAGAATTGAGCGATTCATTAGATCTCTTTGTAGCCGGTATTGTGGAACTATCGCTTGAACTTCTCCTTGAATTCTGTCCACTTGATTTCCTTTCATCGGAAGAAGAGCTTCGATCACTAATAACATCTCTGATGAATGACTTAACGCGTGCTAATCCATTTTGTTTAGGCGATACAGTAGTCTGATTGACAGTGTTCGATCTGTCCAAGGTTTTAGATTTAGCTGAGTTCTCTTGTTTGTATGGTGTGCGTGACTTGGAGAGGCTGGCCTTTGAATCGGCCACAGCCTTTCTTGTCTTCGCAAGAGCCTCAGCTACCACGCTCTGGTTGGGCCGCGGAGGGACCGGGGGTGGTCCCTTCAGCTTGTTGGTCTTCATAGGTTGAGTGTTTGTCTGTACCATCAGCATACTTAAGCGAAGTGTCACTCGAACAATACTATAAAAGGAAAACTATAGTATAAAGAGCGCGTTTGCACTAGCACCGCAATAAGTCACTACACACGCGAGCGCTCGAGACGCGGGGTCGACACGGCCGTCCCCGCGAGCGCGACTCACCGACTGCCGCCCGGCAATTTAACTATCACAGACCGAACAAATTGCTCCTTACTGCGTTCTAGTATCGGCTCCGTAACTTTGCCTTGTCCACTTGGGAATTACTTTACGAAGTGTTGCGTATATCGGATTTATGTAGCGGCGCCGGCGAACAATAAGTTGACCCACACTTTTAATAAAGTAAAAGCTATTGTTTACAGTGAGAATACAATACTGTAGGTCCACTGCGCGACGCACGCGACGGTCTATAGCTTTTTTGTTATCTTGAAAATACTTTCCGATCTATTGTTTGTGAGATATTGTTTGGAGTTGTTTAACTTTACATAATGTTTATAAAATAAAAGCCAACTTATGACTGACTAACTAACAAAAGCACAGCCTGAAACTATGTATGTAACAGAAACTTGAATTTTGGACTATGTTTCCTTTTATAATGTGGATTCAGAATATTTTTTTTTTTTTAATTAGCACCATAAGTTTTGTAAAGGGGCTCCATCAGTTTAGAATTTAGGAAAATGAATGTTTATGAAAATTAAACATTTAGGCCTGGTTCAGTGCGATGCGGATAACTTAAGATGTCCGTGGCCAAATGTAAAATATGTTTCCTATACATTCCGTTCAATACGGTGAGGAGCTGGAGCAGGGCGGAACTCTCACAAATTAACCCACGACGGACGCTTCTGCTAATCCGTGGCAGACGGTCCACGTGCGTAGCCCTGAATAGTGCCTTAAATTGGATGAAGAAAGAGATCTTAACAAAGCTTACTCAACAATTTTTGTTTGACATCAGATTTACTTGAAACTTTGTAAGGGTAGTATAGTTTATGCAAACAAAATCACATGCAAAAGGCTAGTCTATTGAATATATTAAGGTTCAAAATCAAACGGGGAAATTTATGATGCAGAGCTATACACATTGTTGACTGTACATAAATACCTTATTATATTTTCTCAAATATTTTTAATTTAGATAAAATAATCAGTGAATATTGCAGTTTTCCTCTAAAATATCATTACAGTTACATAGTTACTGCATGCTTAGTAAAATTTCTATATATATTTTTTTAATTGGTAAATCATAATAATCTAATTTATAGTTACCGCAAAGATATGAGTAATTCCTTTTAGCAATAAGGCACTGGTTATACTGTTTAAAAGTTTTAGTTAATTGTTGTTACTTTTTCGTCTATACTTACATTATAAAAATGTAAAATTTCTAACTTTGTTTGTTTGTAGAGGGTTTATCTTTAGAAATAATAATAATAATATACTTTATTACACTCAATATGATACAATGTTTACAGGAGCTTATTATTTAAAAACATTGAGTAAACAAATGGCAGCCTTATTGCTTAACAGCAATTTCTTCCAAGCAACCTATGGTGAAACTGGATAACGAATAAAGATACTGTGGGGAGTGGGTGCAATATTGAGAAGGATCTGATGATGAAATTTTTTTGATCTATGGGAAACTACATTATAGCGGGTAGGCTATAATTATGACGGCGATTGAAAGCAGTTCACTTGGCTATTGCTTTGGTACCTGACATTTATAAAAGTTCAGGGTTTTAAAAAGTAAATTTTTAAATTGGATTTTTTATACATCAAAATAAAAAAGCTTAAAATATACTTAAACAAATTTATCCCTTTTAATTGCTTAAATAAGCGAATATCTATATTAAGTAATAGACTAGTTGACAACTTTACAGTCTATTAATATCTGAGAAATAATGTAAAAGTAACTGCAAGTATGCGAATAATAGTTATAATAGCTATTATAATAAAAGCTGTTTTAACATTTTAAGTGACAAAGGACATCGCCGAAAATGGCCCCAATACCAGTAAATATTAATACTTCAATAATAATTATAAATTAATTTATTAAATTGTTATCAAATATTTATTTGATAAGGACAAACTGCTATCCATAATTAATATTTAAAAGTACTTTAACAGTAACATATTTATTCGCAAATATTCACATTCAATACACTTAAATTCTATTGAGTCAGATGGATGTTATTTACATGTCAGATCAAGAAGAACATTTATATTTCTAAAACTAAATTCATTAACTGTTAATGATGATAATTCAATCTTGTTTATTCAGAAAGATTGATATTCATACGACATATCCTAAATACTACTTTATTTCTATTACATTACCTTTATATTCCTCGTAAACATATTAACATCATGTCATTTACGCATTTAAGGCGCCATCTTTTGATATCAACCATCAAAAAGCTATAGGTTTTTTAATTTTAAGCTTATCAATAGGTTTATTATTTAACTATTAGAATGATTTATTTGTGTATTGACCTAGAAACTTTTACAAGTCACAACGAAAAACCGACTTTCTTAAAGTTGAGTTTTTTGCTTCGACAATATAGACATCAATATCATGTCATGTACTTAAAAGTGCCATCTCTTGGTGGTTTTCCAAACAAATTATAACCTCAAAATGAATTATATTTTGCATGATAATAAGTTCTACAACTTGGTCGTGGTATAATAAATACATAATGAGAATTAGTTAGTGACACACAATAAAATCAGTATTTTCCTATAATTTTTTGGTATTTGGTATGGACGTTGAGCAATGTCCTTTAATGTTATAAGTATTTTAGCAAACATTTGTAGTATATTTTCCCTACTCTTTTCAAGTATTCAAAGTATAATATTTTTTAAATTAGTGACATCAATTTATTTTGTAAATATTTATAAGAGAAATGGTCATATTTTTCAAACATATAACTGAAACATGTATTTTTACTTGTCCGACACAAGCCTATTGTATTAATTTATTTTCAGTTGTCACTATCTAACCTGCATGGGTTATAATTTGAATATTTATATTTTAGATTGCCAACCACTAAGTACTACTTAGTGGTTGGCTTAGATCAACATTTGGGATAGAATCATAAAAAAAATACATCTTTAATACTTACATATAACTCTATTTGTTATTGAATTTCCAATCTTGTCTGCACATAGGACACTGTTGCTGTGGTTGAGAGTGCAACCATTTAACAATGCAGTGAATATGAAAGCAGTGTGAGCAAGCACCCCAAACGAGAGGGCAGTCGTCACCAGGCAATTTGCAGTCTGGGCAGCAACTATCGAACGGCATACGACAAATACCACAATTGTCGTCGTTAGCCACCCAACGCCAAGTCGCAACACCAGTCCAATCTTCAAAAAAATTCAGAGGTCAATATTAAGAATCCCGTGAGGTCGACTACACTCTATTACATCTTGTTGCAGTGATAGAAGTTACTTACTTTTAATGGTGACTTTCATATCTCGGTAAACACATTTACCGAGTTCGATTCTTCATTAGCAAAATAAGCAGAGCTACAAAATCAAAAGTAAATTATCTACTAAATTCGAACCACAGAAATATGCTCAGAAATTACATATTGTTCTGTAAATGACAGAATAAACAATTATTGTAGGGATGCCCAACGATCATCTATTTTGATAAACATCGCTGTTAAAAAATAAAATATCAATTTTTAAAATCGATTTTGCACTAAATAAAACATCGTAACATTGATGTTAGCAGGAACACAATCAAAATTTTATCGACACGTCATAGTAGTACAAAATTGACCTAAATCTATGAACGCTTACCCACACAGTAAGTATTTATCAAATTCTGAATGCTACCAAATTACGGAAAAATACCTTTGTCTTATCCTAGGAAACTTCCATGATATGTCATTTCGTCACTGAAAAATTTGCCGTTATTTTCTTATTGGAACATTTATTAGTGTTTCTATTCCCTAATGTTTTAATTTTTAAAATGTCGTTTGATATTAAAGTTATTTCATTTGTTGATGACGATGTGTGCAAAAGAAATCGATGTTTATCGAACATCAAAGCTTTACATGAGCAAGTAGTTAAAAAATAAAAATTTGTTCTTGAAATCAAACTAGATGTCACTGTGATATTCATTCAAATTTTGTTTCTGACATAATAAAAGTAAATTCAGTATCGAAAATTAATAAATATGATATCTTTTCGTGTTTTTTATAGTATCTAACTTTCAAATTAATTTTAATTTATTTGAATCGTAAGATTACGTTATTCATTATGTTATGTGTAAAGGAACGATATTTGGCTTAAGTCAACATTAGTGATGAGTAAGTTGACTCATTGGTTGCCCGTAACTTCAATTAACTCGATTCATCCAAATTCATGTTTGGAATCAAGAACAAAAAGCGGAGCGCAGAATTCTGCTTGTTTTTTATATGTACAGTATTTCCATATGTACCATTTATTATAAATATCAAAATCAATATAATCTAGGTTGTTACATAGTACTTGTGAAAGTCAAAAATTTTTTGCCAACGGTTCGCAAAACCAAGGCAGGAGATCTTGTACTGAGAGGAACCGGAAGAAACTCAGCAAGGGCTGCTTTTTTCTCCCTGTGTTATTTCGCACTGAGAAGTCTTGTTGGAATGTGTAATGTGAAATTAAGTAGTCCAGTGCAAACTCACCCCCACTGGTATCGGTTAAGTATATATAAATGGATTTTTTTTATATAATTATCGTTTTTATGACCTTTGTTGCTGATAAATAAACCCTATTCATTAATTCACCACGCATAATATAAAAATATTATTAAGACTTGATATAGTTTTGTTGCTGTCAGTTCAACAAACAACTAACAGCAACAAAGCTAACTTACCTAGTTGTTATGTTTTCAGGACTTTTGTTAAATATTATAATAAAGAAATCCTAGACCTACTATAGTATAAGTATTTTATTTATAAAAACTATTTCACTGTAATGTTATTGTATACCGTAGCTAACTGCCACTTTTAATAATTTCACAGCATTTATTCTATTGTTTTCCATAACTTTTAAAAAACCTTCTCTGTGTTCACTTCCTTTATGTTAGTTTCAATTTTCCATTATACAAATAAAAAAAAAAATTATTCAAAGATTACTTCGTATTAATCGAGTTGCGTTTGCATACCTATCTCTAACTAATTGAATTTCAAATTGATATTAATCCGAGTTATCAGAGTACTATTTCGATGGTGACCAACAAATATCAAATAATCATCACCCAGACCATGTGGTCAAACTCATTAGAAAGTATTGAAACTATGCTGTATAGTGGGAGTTTTATTTCAACATAGGTATATGCTACATACTCTACCGTAAAACTGTACACGGCTAGTGATGTACCGTGCCCGGGCACACTCCCAAGGACTGGAAATTTTGTTGGAAGCATTGCCGGCAACGCTCCCAAAGTGGGAATTTACTGGGATTATTGGATAAATTTTTTGAGTTTTCAAAATATTTCGTTTGAATTTGAATAACTTTATGGTTACCTGTGTACTGGATACGAAAGTTGTCATTTTTATATCATAATAACGAATATTCCCAGGATACTGGCAATGTTCCCGGCAAAATTCCCAGTAATATTTCCAGTTTATTGCCGGCAAAGTTCCCAAGAATCATCTAAACGATGGGTATCTGTTTAGTGTAGAATATCTTACGATATTAAATGCAAATTATAATTGATATTAATCCGAGTTATCAGAGTACTATTTCGATGGTGACCAACAAATATCAAATAATCATCACCCAGACCATGTGGTCAAACTCATTAGAAAGTATTGAAACTATGCTGTATAGTGGGAGTTTTATTTCAACATAGGTATATGCTACATACTCTACCGTAAAACTGTACACGCACGGCCCTGCGCAACTGCTACCATAGGGTAAATCCGCACACACGAAGATGACATTATTAATTGTTTCGATTAATCTTTGACATCCCTAAATGTCATATGTCAAATTCTATATTCTTTTTTTGTTCTTGTTGGCTTTCTTGCTTGCGTTAGATGGTTAGATGAAATTTCCAAATTATCAGAAAAAGCCTAATATTTTTTTTGATTTTTTCATAATAACCGTGAATTTGATTTAAAAACTATGACAACATTTGATTCAAAGTATGACGTAAGTTTAATTTTGTGTATCTATTATATATAATGAATTTTTATAAAGTTTAATAAAAATTAATCAGTAAAACATTACTGATTATAATTTAATATCATCAAACGACTTTCTGATTTAGGTTAACATGATTTGCTAAACTATGAACTATGTTTATTAGTAGTTCAAATTTTTTTTTTCATTTTTAATGACTACAAGAGATACATACTCTTGCACCAATCTGCAGCAATTTGTTGTATATTATATAGGTTGTGTGTATATTGTTTTTTTAAATATTTGAAAATAATATTCAATAAAGGCATGGTATATTCTTAAATGTATCATATTCCATAAAATTCTTAGAGGATGAATCATCACAGCTGTTTTTACATGTTCAATTGTTTGTTTAATCACTTTTGATTTATATATAACTTCTAGATGTTTCCTTCTGGTGATGTGGGAGTGGTGGAAGGAGAAATGAACTTTCCAAATCAAAATCAGACACCCGGTGATCCTATGGAATTTAATACATTGGATGAACCAATTAAGGAAACCTTTGTGAGATATACTAAATATATACTTTTTTATTAATTATAATAGTTTTGTTTATATTTCTAGTGTTCTCTTTCTTAATTTGTTGGAACTTGTAGAGTCTCCATAATTATTATTATTGTTCTGTTAAATATGTCTAAAGTATTCAGGGTTTTAAGCATTTGTAGCGGAGTGCAAGTGAACTTAGGTCACTTTTCCGAACCTTAATATTTCTCATTAACAATAGCAATTTGTTATAATTACTTATTTAAATTAACAGTAGACTGCAGTTTGTACTCAATACTCAGTTCTTTATTGTACACAGATAATTACAATTTGTGAAGGTAAATAAAATAACTGAGTACTGTAATGATTTAAAAAAAGCTTATGTTATAAGAAGTGTTATAAGATTCCTTTAATTAGCAGCTCTGGATGCAGTAAATTGCTATATAAGAGAAAATTCTCTAAATTGAATTTCCACGATATAAGCTGTCAAAGTTATTGCTGAGTTACCAGTGAAATTTAGTAGTAGCTATATATAATAGGGATGATGCCTGGGTAAAAAAACCTGTTTATTCCATTGGCCAGACAATAGAAAAATATTGTATACATATTTTTTTTTTTCTCATTTTAATTAGAAATCACTTAAATAATAGGCATTAAATTTGAGGAGCGGGGGCTCATTATGCCAGGACTATGTAGAAATGAACAAAGGTGTGATGTTAATAAATAATTTAAAAAAAAATCAGTATCCTATTATTTTGAGAGAGCATAAAAAATTTTAAGTGAAAAAAATTGTTCAAAATTAAAAAAACATTGTGCAACTTGATCAACAACCATCCTCTTGTTTTCTAGCTACGAGACCTCAGAGCTGTGGGCAACAAATTTTATCATGTACTTGTACCTAGAGAAAAGTCCAGTTTGCTAAAAGAATGTGAGTGAAGATTGAGTCATATGAATCATTATTATATATAAATTATTAACTAATTTATTTATGAATGTTGTGTGTAAATTATTAATTTTTTCATAGTATTATTATTTTTTCATAGTGTGATATTTTTAGCAGTATATTAGATCTATAGTTAATTATTTTTTTTTTAGTTGTAGAAGTTACATTAACATTGAAATACAATTTTCATTTATGCTCCATCACTTCATTAAAACTTATCTATGTACACACAGCTGAATATTAAGTTACTTTGGCTTTATTTGCAATCAATAATCTGTGCAATTGATTTTGAACTTATTTATCAAATTCATAAGGCTTCACTTGTAAATATTTTGAGACTGTTTAAGACTGTATGACCTTTTAAGACTGTTTCCTGTACATTTAAAAAATTGACAAACAGATGGACAATGTGAAAATTAATGGAATGTATAGTTTATAAAAAAAAAAACCAAATAAATCACATTATTTGGTGGAACAGTCTTTCAGTTTAAGTCCCATTGTCTCTAGTCAAAGCTTTGGAAATGGATTTTACATATTTGTTTTGCAAAATAAAAAATTCGCTTTTTTATTAAAATGTGTAACTAATTAATCTACTTTACAGAAGAATAAAGTTTTATCTCCATGGTTTCTTGACTGTTTAAGAAAACAATTTAACATTAAAATCATACAACATTTCCACTTGGTGTTCATTATCTTAGACAATCAATTAAGAATTTCCCAAATTGTCAGTAAAACTTTGGGAAGATTAAGAAATTGATTTGAAAAATTAATTAAATATAATTTTATTCTACAGAAAGCTTGAAATGGTAAAATGTAGTTCTAAAATCTATTATAATTACCAATACTAACAATAAAACGACACTGATAAGCCTTATCTAAACAAACATTCCATGTTATATGGTTACATTATTTCATATGAATAAAATCTATTTATTACAGGGGACTTATGGGGACCACTTCTCCTCTGCACACTTATGGCTACCATCCTCCAAGGATCAAAAGACCGAGGTGGCACCAATGGTGATGGAGGACCTGAATTTGCTGAAGTGTTTGTTCTAGTCTGGATAGGCGCAGCTGTAGTTACATTGAATTGCAAACTGCTTGGTGGGAATATGTGAGTTTTTAATTGTTTTTATATTGTTATTTGGTTTGATAAATATATAACATAACATCACATACATTGTTCAGATTCCAAGATGAGCTAAAGCACTCTTAGGAAATAACAAATGTATCACAACATACAAACTCGGCTGAATTCTTTCTTTCGGCTGAATATTTGAATTCTTTCGACAGATTTCACTATAATTATATTATGTTTCTTTATCATTCAATTCATTATTCATTCCAAAAGCGATTGCTACTTTAAAAGATACCTAAATCGCTGTAATAGGTTTGTTAATACTATAGATAGTCTGTGTTATAGCTACTCTGTTTCGTTATCTGTGATACACCCTCTCTTCCGCAATGGCTCCGACGAGAACTACTTTATATTCAAGTGCTTACAACTAAATGAATATCTTAATAATACACGATTGTATTATTGTCGTGGAAGACCACATCATTACAATCACTATTATAACTGTAGTACCTTTGAAAGGAATAACGATTGCTGTTGCGACAGGCCTACCCTAGATGGTACAGGGTCCACGCGGGCCCAGTGAAATTGTTTGTTGTAGGACTGTAGATGCAGCCGGGACCGACGGCTTAATCTTCCGAACCACGAAGGCGCTTGACATAATAATTTTTTGGTCAGCTGTCTCATGTCTGGTCCTTACGAAAGTTGCTTAATTTTAGCATCGTAGACTTAACACCCTTACCACTGCGCTGTCGAGCTACATACACAATATAGATAAGCCGAGAGACAGATTAGTTGATCTGACTGAAAATTGAATCTAAAACCTCAAAGACGGCTACAGAATCGTTGAAGAATAAGAAACTAGTCCATCAAGTAGAATGTAATCATGCTCATGAATGCACGTTTATTACTGTGTATTATGTAATAGTGATTATATATTTAACCAAGGTAATATTGAATTGGAATTAGCTACAATAACATCTTTATCTACTAAGTGCTGTACTACTTTAGTTTATAGAGTTACATATTTATATATTTTCAGTGCAACAAATATACAGAGTTTAAATGACGTCACATACATTGCTCAGATCATAGATCCTAAATAGTTTTCATAACACAAACCTTTTGTCGTGCAATTGAATGGCGCCATTCCATTGCACGCCTAGCTTTTTAGTTGAATTACAATTCACTTAGTTTTGTTACCTGTTAAAAAAAAGTAACCTCGAAATTTAAGATGATCGCAAATGGCGCCATTCAATTAAAGGTCTAACCGCCCAATTGATTGGCTGATTATACCACTTGGCTGCGACATGTACACAAAACTGATGCATAGAGTAGAAGATTAAAAGATGTCAACAAAACAAGAACAGTGCCATCTCACGTCCAATTATGTAATAAAAAGATATAAATAAGCTAAGAACAGCTCCATCCTGGAATTTCATTTATAATTAATAAGCATATCTTTACGACTAGTCTTCCAACTGTCGCTACAGTGACTACACACAATGGCGGATCGTGTTTCAAGTCACGTGATACACAGACAAAAATCCTCATCAGAAACTGCCCTATTGTGTTTGTGTGTTGTGTACTAACTTTAATACCATGTCGCAATTGACGTTTTCTCTCGCGTCAATGTCAATTTGCTGTAGGCGCCCACGGTTTAAACCACGCACGTTGTTTTGTGGGATACATAATGTGAATTGTTCCGTCCGTGTGTTTCAGTTCGTTCTTCCAGTCCGTATGCGTGCTGGGCTACTGTTTGTTTCCGATCGCGCTTGCGCTGGTGGTGTGCCGCGTTATTCTCTTCGCACCGCAGACTACCTTTCTTTTCTTCCTACGCCTCGTCATATCACTAATAGGATTCGCGTGGGCGACATTTGGTAAGTTTTTACTATCACTATATACTACACTAACAGGGCCGGATTAAGCTGTAGTGGGGCCCGTCTGCTTAAAATTAATTCAGTGTATAATTGGAATAAAAATTCTTACAAACACACTTTTCTTTATTTAATAATAATAAATACTCTTTGTTGCACAAACGAAGGGAAATCGCTAGCCAGCGATTTCTTCCAGGCAACCTTGCATTGGAGTTGAAAAACAAAACATTAGATAGCAGTTTGTATGTATAACAAATAATGAATCATATAAAACAAAACAGAATAACGATTGTAAGAGCGAGGTATCACTAAAAAAAGTACTTAAAGTCGAAGAAAATGCTCAAACCACGAGTGACAATGAGATCGCAAGAAGTGAGAAAAGAAAACAGAAAAGCAGGCTACACATTTGTCAGGAAATGGGATTTTTATGGTGATTTGAAGCAGTTCCATAATTTAATTGTAAAAGTAACCCGCCAATACAAGTTTTCAAGCTCAATTTAGCTTATAATGTGATTATCGATTGAAAATAATGGTAGGTACATTATCGTTTATGGCTTTTTTTTTAAATTGTGGGCATTCTTCCAATCACCTAATATAACTTTCGTTATGATGATGACGAATAAATCGGAATCAGTAACCTTGCAAACGAAACAGAAAAGCCGTCGCCACAGTGACGTCACACAATGGCGGGACGTGTTTCAGGTCACGTGACACACAGACAAAAAATTACGCCATTTAATTTCAAGATAATCGTGCGATTTTATTACTCAAAATCAGATGTTTATAACGACGTAACTTTTAGTTTTTGTGCAATTTCGTAACTTATTTTTCACTACCGAAACTTAGTCTATTATGATAGAGTATACATATGGAAAAGATTAATGTACATATATAAAAGAAATGACGAGGGGAAAAAAATCTCCAAAGACAAGGTTGAAAAAATTAACATGGGTGTTAATTTTATGTAATAGTGATTAAAAGTAACAAAAATGAAAATAGAATATAAAAAGTAGAAAAGCCTGCTACTGAGTAGAGAAACCTTAAATAAAAAAAAGGCAAAGGAAAGAGCAATGCTTGGTTTTTCTCTACGAGATCGTAATAGCAACGAACAAAGCTGCAGAAGAACCAGCGTTACTGACATTGCTCGAAGAATTGTTTAGCGGAAGTGGCAGTGGACGGAATAGATGGCTATAAGAACTGATAGCCGTTGGAGGGAGGTTCTGAAATTCTGACCACGTACCGGACGACGTTCAGTGGTTAGCCTCCCCCCCCCCCCCCCCCCCCCTCCTTAGGTGGACCGACGATCTAATAAAGGTTACGGGAAGCCGCTGGATGCAGCCCAAGTAGGACCGATCGTCGTAGATATCAATGAGAAAGGCCTAAGCTCAGCAGTGGGCGTTGTATGGCTGCTGATTATAAGATGAGAATGTGTATTCATCATTGTCAAAAATTAACATTTATCTGGTTGAAATAGGGGATGAAAATGTGTTTTCATAAAAGATAAATATCATGTTTATTTTTTAATCAGGCAATTAATAAAATATAAGTAAAAGTTCAAAAGAATATTTCCGCCCAATATAACTACCACGTTGACGGATTCGCTACCAGAAGCTAGTCACTACATGGTATAAGACAAAGTCGCTTTCTCTCTCCCTATGTATGCTTAAATCTTTAAAACTACGCAACGGATTTTAATGCAGTTTTTTTCATAGATAGGGAGATTCAAAAGGAAGGCTTTTATATATAATACAAGACCACTCGGGCGAAGCCGCTGGCGGAAACCTAGTAATAAATAAAAAAGATGTGGTTTTAATTAAATATTTATACTTTTTTCAGCATCAATGAAATTCCTAGGGGATAGTCAACCGGAGGGCAAGAAGGCACTCGCTGTATATCCGATATGCCTTTTCTACTTCATATTGTCGTGGCTTGTTATGTCACACACCAACGTGTAGGCAACAACTAGTGTAATGTCATTGTGATATGGACTTTAAGGTAATTTGTGAATATTATTATATTATTAAATATTTAAGTATGAACATTTTCGACTTGCAAGCGTATTAGTTCTATATTTATTGTAATGAATTTTCGATCCGTCATTGTATCGTCGTTTCTATGATTGTTATTAGTATTATAAGTGACGATGGAACCTTCGAATTAGTTGACCCTTATTGAGTATATAATAAAGAATATTCTCGAAGTTTCCATTATTAGTTCTGCGGCACGAGTGAGCATTCCAGTCCCAAATGATTTTATTATAACTGAATCATAGGTTATGTAAAAACACGGTTTTGTATATAAAATAATCAATAATGATAATTAAAAAAAAAGATATTTTTCCGTCTGTTTCATTTTTTTTTTATTTGAAATCCTTACAAAACATCTCATATTCAAATACACGATTCTAAAAATACACGCTTGAGTGAAAATTCGAGACAATCAGTACAGTTTTTGGATAGATTATGATATTTTTGCAGGTACACCACTAGACTAGGCTTACTCCATTCTTACATCGAATATATTTACAATACAGAGTAATTCACTATAAAAACTGTGGTTATAATGAATTACTAGAAAATGTTTTATTATTACGTATAAAACACATACACTAATTGAATCGAGATATAATATTTGTGTGTATACCATTTTTTATTGATAAATTTTGAATTTATCATTATTATTTATTGGCCTAAAGTAGTGTCTTATTATATAAAAAGAGGAACATCGATAAATCTAAATAATTTAAGGCAACTAACTACAACACTATGTGTATATTATGTTTTTTAATTACTTAGGGTTGGTGCACACATATACAAAATTTTTAAATCACCGATTGTACAATTCAAAATGTATACATGTGATAATATTGTGCATATATCAGTTCTGTTTCTGTATGATTAAAAAAATATGTTATATAATTTACATTTACATCAGTTGCTTTAGCTTGGGCACTGTAAATACTTTATTATCAAATAACAAATACTATACGTATTATCTCCGTTCGAATACATCTATTCAAAGACTTATTAAATGTTATATTTAAATTGTAAAATGAAATCACAAATTAACATACACATAAATAAAAAAAAAATAGTATTTAGTTTGAATATTAAAAAATACATTTATACAATTATTATCTAAATAGCAATTGTCAAACACAACCTTTAAAAAAATACAATGGAATGACATTCTAAGGAAATCAGGTTTCCTATTTAGAGGTTATAATTAAGTTTAGGATTATTAAAACAAACTGAACGTTTACATGAGTGCGGTACAATATGAAACAAATCACAGATGCCAGATTTTCTGCGTGTTTTGTTTACATGCAAATCATAATTAATCTATTGTATTTCTTCTTCACTGGTAGCGAAGTTACGAATTGTAACCAAAGTGGTTGTTTACACCAATGTGACAGCATAAAGTCAGTGTGAACTGGCTTTATGATTTTAATAATGTACATACGTTAATGTAAGGCGGTGTGTACACGTCTGCGTGTGTCATTGCGAACGCTATTACCTGTATAAATACGCATGATATTATCTCGTGAGTACTTTTAAACGAGATCATCGGTTCTTAACGCTTCTAAAATACATAGATCACTAAGCGACATTAATATCAAGCAGTCTATCTATACCTATGATTATAACCATTCTACACAAAACAAGACTGTTTAATGAAAACAAAATTCGTGTTTTTTTTTAGTAAAATCATAATTTTCTCTATCGATTATATTAAAATAAAATAGGACCTAATCAAAAACACTATAAGTTAAATTAATCTCTAACTGCATGATAGATATTTTTTTTCGTTGAAAAGCTTCTTTCGAGCTAAGTACACAGAATCACATCGATTTTGAATTTTAATGTGAATAAATTAAAGTTAAAAATTTATTGCAGTGTAATTCTTCGTAGCAAGAACAGAAAAAGGTTTGTTATTATAAAAGCAAGAGAGTTAACTCGATTCTGATCCGCTCGAGGCTTTGTCTGGTGTTCTGGGTGGTGATGGTTTAGGTGATGTTTTCGGTGAATTCCTCGGTGATGATTTCGTCATCGGTTGGTAGGACATCTGCATTTGCAAGGAGTCCCTCGCTTTTCTTGCGCTCTTGTATGTGAGGGAATTAGCTCTTGGCTTGCGTCTGGAGAAATGTCGCTCTATCCATTTTAACATCGCCAGGACCGAGTCCGTGGATGATAGACGGCGTTCTGCGGATGTTTTGGTGATTGTCGATGACGCGATACGGAACGTGGCCGCCATACCTTTTAAAGCCTGTACAGATTAACATTGAGTGAATGAGAAAATTTAAGTTCTAAAAGGGTTCTTTAAGTTGTTAGTTCCTTTAGTTGTTATTTATTTTCTTAGGAAATTGCACGGGGTCTCATTGCTTAGTAAATATTTGTTCTTAAAATCCACAATAGATGGCGTTGCATGTATCATTTAATATACCAATATGATTTCTTAAAGGGAAAAAATCCTAAGCTCGGAAAAATTGAATGAAGGTTTATTTAATCTAGTTTTCGTAAAATTACAATTCGTTACAATTTTAGAGCGAAGGTATGTTAAATAATTAATTGTCTGTGCAGAGATGACGTTGTAAATGGCTACGTTTTTATTATTATTTTATTTAAAACCGTTTTTTTGTTGGTGTTTAAATTTTATTGATTGACAAGAAACTGTTTTATGTAGGGTATATTTAATGTGGATCTATATTAACGTTCTTTTGTGGTGTTCCAAGTCCAATTCTAAGTGTTGCTTTCTCATTTGCGGCATCTAGTGCCGATTTAATTAAGACAAAATAGCCCGAAGCCCGAGTTAGGATGGCCACGTTTTGTTCTATGTTATGTGTATCTGTGGTAATGTTCAATCTCTATTTGTTAATTTATGTTTGTTTCGTTGTTCTATTTTTGATTGAGTAGACTTTGTTTTGGTAAACTCGAGCATAAGTATTATGAACCTTTTTATATTTAAGAGTGCATTTAATGTGTCAGATTAAAGGTGCGTATTGGAGGTTGGTTATTAATTAGATGGCGTGCAATTGGGGAGGCCTATGTCCAGCAGTGGATGAATATGGGCTGATGATGATGATTGGAGGTTGCATACTGGCTGATTTAAAATATATTACTACCAGAAGATTAACCGATGTAAACGTTTGTATTGAAATGAAATGAATATATTTTTATATTAAAAAAAAATATGAACTCAAGTCCAAAATTGTAGGATGTTACGACTGCAAGTATATTTTTATTTGCATAGCGCAAACTACCATTGGTTACTAAGATATCTAATACAAAATTTTGAAGTTAAATATTTTTTTTAATGTTAGTGCCTATTATGATATTGGTGACGAAATATACTAAATGCTTATATGAAGTTATTGTTGAAATTTGTAGGCGTTTATTAAGAATAAAATCAAAATGTGTTCAAAATAATTTGTAAAGCGACTCACCAACATGGCGTCTTCGTCGGTGACGTCATCACCGGCGTATATCACTCTGATCCTCTCGCACCAGTCTAAGCCGAAGGCTGTCCTTAGAATGTAGATAGATGCTCGACCTAGAAACGAAAAGTGTAAATATTGCATAAGGATGTATTAAATCGCTTTTGCAACTTATTTTAAGCAGTGCATATTAATGGCAGATATTTTAGTGGATTTCGAGAGGTTCTCTTTTTGTCGAGAAATAAAGTGCCAAGAAACAATATAAAATTATATGAAATAAAACGTTGCGTGGATTGTAAACATAAAATGTTTTGTCAATTTTACGTAAAAATGTGCATGAATCATTTATTTACATTTTTCAGTTGGATTAAAAAATTCCAAAGACATATCAGGAAGAAGACTCATAATACTGAAAATAGGCTGTATGATCTAAGATCCCTTTGCGTTAAACAAAACTGCTATAGTTTGATTTTTATTCGGACGCCTTAATCTGACATTTAGTGGGCGAACAAAATTGTTATATGTAATGTTGTCAATGTCAATGTTGCCTCCATGGTTCGAATAAGTAAACGAAGAAAATAAAAATACGGTTTATTTTATACATACTCTCCCCCACATTGGCATTCGATATGCTATTAAATGAATGACAATAAACTAGTTTACATACTACCCTCAAATCTCGGTTAGGCCGAGAACTTTTCAAACCACCCTCGTACTACGGGAGTAACACCGAATTCACGAAGAAACAATCAGCTATATCATACTGTCAAAGATTGTATATTACAATTTTGTTTGCCCACTAAACGTCAGATTAAGTCATCCAATTAAAAATTAGATTATACCGGTGTTGTTAAACGGACCCCACAGAGTCCCGGTATATAATAATATTACACGTTGTATAGGTAGCCCGGTGGCGTAGTGGATAAGCGCCGCGGCCCGCGATCGTAGTCGTTAAACAACTTTCGCAAGGGTCGGTCACGGGATGGGTGACTAAAAAATATTATTATGTCGAGCTACTCCGTGCTTCGGAAGGCACGCTAAGCCGTCGGTCCCGGCTGCATTTGCAGTCGTTAATACCCTCCAATCCTAATTGGGCCAGCGTGGAGGGACACGGCCCATGCTCCTTAACCATCCATAAAGAAGGCCCGAGCCCCTGCAGTGGGGACGTAAAAGGGCTGGTGACAATGATGAATACACATTCTCATCTTATAATCAGCAGCCATACAACCCCCACTGATGAGCTTAGGCCTTTCTCATTGATATCTACGACGATCGGTTCTTCTTGATCGGCTTAATAGATCGTCGGACCACCTAAGGCCTGAGCCCCTGCAGTGGGGACGTAAAAGGGCTGGTGATGATGATGATGATGATGATGACACGTTGTATACTGTGTGGCGGTATCAATACCCACCCTTGTCCCACTGCACTGGCGGGCGCGCCTCTATCGCGCAGTGCGCGGGCGCGGGCGTGAACCCGGCGGCGGCGATCAGTCGCCGCGCGGTCTCCTCTAGCGCCGCGCGTTTCGGCAGCGGCGTCTCGCGGTAGTGGAACGTTAGCAGTGCGCCCTTGTTCTCTACCCACGCGCCGTCCTTGCACACCTGCGTGCGACAATGTAACAGTTAGTCGTTTTCAAAGTCAATTGTGGCCTCGGCAGAATAATAGTGCAGGTTCTCCTTAGGGGCCGTTCATAAATTACGTCACACAAAATTCATGATTTTAACACCCCCCCCCCCCTCTTATGTTTGTCTATACAAATTCTACTATACTAATTCTAATGTCACAGTTCGTCGACCCCCCCCCCCCCTCCTAACGTGTTACGTAATTTATGGATGGCCCCTTACTGCTTATAATGAGCCGGGGCCAGCCAACACGAACAAACAAAATATCTATATTTCGTTTGTTTGTATTATGTTTAATCGTAAAAAATCATGCTATAAATTGTGTAGTTCATAAAAATCTATTCTCAAACTATCAATAAAAACACATTCTATTCTAGTTTATTGTATTCTAATTGCAATAACTGAAAATACGATATCTATTTATATTAATATTATAAGGAGGAAAGATTTGACTGTTTGTTTGTGGTTTTGCAACGAATAGACTCCGAAACAACTAGATAGATTTTTAATTCTTTCACCTACACGAAGCTACTGGGCTATGTCTTATCCCGAAAAACAGCAAATAAAGGGATGAAAATGGGAGTGGAAGTTTGTATAGGGAATTAAAATAAACCAATTTCGACAAAATTAAAATATTTTCCTAGGGCAGATGAAGAAACTAATGATAACATGAGATACAACACGCGTCGAAACAAAACGATATCTGTATATCTGTATCGTTTTCTTGTGTGGGGTGCTAAAGGGCGCTATCAAGAACAGTCAAAATTTCAATAATTTGTATCTGTAAAACATCCGAGTCCATGGAAATTTCATGAAAATCTCTCATTTAGATAGATTTCAAAATAACAATATTTGTTGACGTTGATTTATCAATACTAATAATAACGCCCACCGGAGGTCCGCGTACCACAGGTTGGAAAACGCTGACCTGCTGACATGTGTTTCACATCTTCATAGAGCATTATCGGGTGTTGTAAGATTTTATAATTATTATAGTATTACATATAATATAATTAGTGACTAATTAATTAATTGACATTAATTCATTGAAATTATATTTGCATTAATTTTTAAATATTATTTGACAAGTTATACACGATGTAATGTTTTATATGGGATATCCTGAAATAAACTTATTATTATTATTAAAATACCAACCACTTAATGCAATAACAAGTAACAAACCCTGGAGGATGTGCTTTGTGAAAGGGCAAAACACGTGTAGAGTAGAAATGGTAGTAGTTAGTCAAAGAGTGAAGGAATTGTTTATTTAAATATCGACCATTTATCCATATCATAGTTATAAATATGTTGAACCCAAAAAAATAAGGGTAAAGGTATAATAAACTGATAAACCGGTTAGGTACGAGTTGATTATTGCATTTCTTATATCTTGTTCAAATGGTAATTCTTACTAGATAATTTTTATTATTTATATACATCTAGCAGATACATAACAATGTTTGAATTATGTAAATAAAACAAATTACCTGTTCTTGTAACGACTTAAGAAGTTCCACGACTTTGTCTTGGCACTCCATAGGCATCGGATGGACGAACTTGCTGCCGTCAGGATGAAGGATCTCCAACCCGTGGTTGCCGGCGTATGTTATGCCTTCTATTCCGACCTGCAAACAAAAATAATAAATTGATACCCTGTCAATTGTCAATATAGACCAGGGATTCCCAAAGCGGTTGATAGCCCTATTGCTTTCTCATGGGTTAACACAAACGAAAACTGAATTTTGGGGTCTACGAGTCCCTTATTAATATAAATTAATTTTCATTTGAAACTTTCAAAGCCCTAATTGTTAGGCACAACACCTTGTTTTAAGAATAACCAATGCATTAGTATGTGTAGTGTTATTTGATTGGTGTTAAATGATGTGAAGATAACTCATTCAACTCCATAAGTTTTTCAACTCATTTTTTTGTATTACTTATGGGAAAACTACTTAAAGAGTTTGAGAGAAAAAATTTGGGATATGGGCGTCTGAGGTATCTCTTCATTTTGGAAAAGCAGTCTGCAAAGTTTAGGAATGTCTGGATTAGATTTCAATGTATCTTAACCCAAATACTTGGCAGAAGTGGATGCTATGCCTCTGTTGCGTAAAGGCTAAATTATAATCCTTATAAATTATTTAATTAGAATACTTCCATTCTATATTAAGAATTACACAATATAATAGAAATAAACTATATAACGTTTAAGATATTTGTGTAGTTAATTAATAGACTGGGGCCAGTCACAGAAATGACGAAATCTTATCATTTTTTACTCATGTCTCTAAGTAAACAATAAACATACACTAAGTTATAAGGTTATTGGTAAAGATTCATCAACAACATAATATGTCAAGTAGGTATCTATTCATCCGAGGTTGAACATCGCAAATATTACGCAATGGTCAGATATGATAAGTTCCTACGTACGAAACCCGGTTATGTTTTATCAAATTTTTCTTTATCTTTCTATAGAACTGAACGTTATAAATTTATTTGTTAAATTACCGATAACATTGTCAAAGTTCGCGGCGATTGCGTAGCCTTCTGTTAATTGTCTTGATATTTCATTGAACGTCTCACGACGCACTCATACGCATATTATAAAAGACTGATTTTGTTTATTAATTTGGGTCAATACGTGCGTGTGATTGAAAACGAAAATTTCAATTATATTCTTAAATAATGAGCTTAAATTGTGTGAGTTATCCTCTACTTAAGGCGAACCGGGGCAATAGAGTTTCTTTAGGCTGTTTCACATTTAAAACAAAAAAATACATATCAAATATTTTTGTATTACTTTTTTTTACACAGACATCTTCCTTTTTGCATAGGGTACACATTCTAAGCTTAAGGTATCACGTCTTAGGGGGCACTAAAAATCGGCCAAGTGTTAATCTGACTCGCGCCGAAAACGAACAAAAAAATTAAGTTTGTTGTATGGGAGCCTCTTAAATATTTATTGTATTCTGGTTTTAGTATTTGTTGTTGAAGCGGCAACAGAAATATGTTATCTGTTTCAATTTCAACTGTATTTCACGGTTCATGACATGTAGCATGGTGATAGGTAGCGAAGTCTTAGTAATAGGGTTCCCTTTTACCCATATAAAAACAGCACCGAAAAATTGCATTGAAAAGAATTGGATGTGAGATTACAATCATTGCAAAGGTGTCGTAAATTTTTATATAAACAAACTTTAATATAAGATTGATTATCACCAACAATGTTTATATTTTTAGGGCAAATATACAAATAAAATTATTATAACAAATGTCGATAGTTAAGAGATCGTTGCTCTTGATCACGAGGTTGCGCACGAGTTTATATTGTGACGTCAACTGCGGGGTGAATTACAAAGTTATCATGATAGCTTGTTCGTTTCAGATTTATTGTTGTATTTTTGTTGGAGACCGACATCGCTTTATGATAATAATACCTATCGCCATTACCTACCACATTGCTAGGGAAAATGAATGTAAAAAATTAACTACTAAACGAATTGGTCTATATTTCCGTGAAAAATATAGCGGTCATTAAATTAAACAAAGATCATCATCATTCCCCTGCCCTTATCCCAATTTTATTTGGGGTCGGCGCAGCATGTCTTCTTCTTCCATATCTCCCTATCTGATGTCATCTCACTAGTAACTTCCTTTCTCACCATATCGTCTTTCACACAATCCGTCCATCGTTTCTTTGGTCTTCCTCTTCCTGTATAGCCATCCACGTTCATGCTCAAAACCTTTCTCACAATATTTTCTTCCTCCTTTCGCATAACATGGCCATACGACGACAACCGGTTTCCACGCAACTTTTCGGTTACCGGTGCCACTTTCAAACTACCTCTAATATACTCATTTCGTACTCTGTCCATTCGCGTAACACCACACATTCCTCTTAACATTCTCATCTCAGCTGCATGCAGTTGTCTTTCATTCATCCCTTTTATGGCCCAACATTCTGATCCATACAGGACAGCAGGTCTTATAGATCTTCCCCTTCAGTTTAAGGGGAATGCGGGGTCACAAATGGTTCCGGTAACCTGCCGCCATTTCATCCATCCTATGTTAATTCTGTGCGTAACTGTCCGATCTATTTCGCCATCGCATTGTATAAGTGAACCGAGATTTAACAAAGATAAGTATATTAAAAGTAATAAGTATGTAAAAGTTTTTTTCCTAAATAACAATAACTTTAGGAAGAAAAGAAGAAATCATTCTTGAAAAATTTGGATATTTACATTGAAATCTGTCATATCAAGACCATGCTATGAACGTATACAGCACGCAAAGAAATGATAAAGTCTGTAATGTTCTCTAAGCCGCATCAAAAGCGTATTCCCTTGTGTAACCCATATTATATCCATACGTTTGTGAAGCATAAGCATGTCACCCAAGAACATAATTTCTATACATGGGTGTACAATACCTTAACGATTTACATCAGAAATCTTAATTTATTGTAATGTTTTCATCATACAATAATAATGATAAAATATATCATTTATATAAACACTTATTTTTCTTTATTTAACAAAAGAACATATTGTGCTTGTTGATTTGTTTTTTTTTTTACGTTTTCTTCAAAAGATCCGCGCGGTTATACAGATCAGTAGGTATGTAGGATCAATCTATTTCTGAAGCAAAAACTGTGGACACTTACAAATAATGCGAGAATGAAGGAGTATGAAATTTGACGCATGTAAAGTATATATGGGGAAGAAGTGTTGAATGTTATTTTCACAGTAATGCGTGATAATAGATAAAATTAATAAAGAAAACATTACACACACTACGTGCACACTACCCGTAAAAACTTCACACACACTACCATGGGATTGGCATTTTGTTTACCGACTATCATATACCTACTTCCTCTAATACAACTGTATAATGTCCAAAGTTAATGGTTGTAACTCGACCACTGTGTGACCATAAGTTATTAACGTGATATCATAATGTAGAAGCGAAAGAAAAACAGAATAACCATCCAGAAAGTTATAAAAGATAAACAAAGAACTTTAGAATAGCTCCGTATGAAGGAGACAATCACCATTTACGGCAAAGACTAAAGAATGACAGCAGATGATCAATGCATTATAATTATATTGTAAGTATTGGGGTACACACCCCCAGTCTAGATTTTGGTGCTTCAAATTATCTACCAAAATATGTTACCGCTCAATGGACACGGTTACATTTTTATCAACTAAAGATGAAAGCAGATGTGAAATGACGACAGCATATGTATGACGTGCCACTTGCGTGGAATCCGGGCTTAAATAATAACACGAGGTTATCAAGTGAGCAGCAGATCTGATCCACCGCTAAATTAACTCTTAGATATTTCTGTTCCCTCCAATCCGCATTGGGCCAGCGTGGAGGGTCATGGCCCATCCTCCTTAACCATCCATAAGGAAGGCCTGAGCCCCTGCAGTGGGGACGTAACCCTAGTAGCATTTTGGGTTGGCCAACCGTGCAATACGGTCGGGAACAAGTTGGGAAAACGTTAGTGAGATTTATTACAAAGTTCCAACTATATGCCAACAGTTTTATTGCAGGAAAAAATACCATACGCACATCCAACTATGGCCCTACTGTCATTTATTGTTATTTTTTCTCACAAATATTTCTCACGTTAACCCAACGAAGGACCTACTATGATTTTTGGTTGGGTTGCCATCTTAAATACCATACCAAAATTTTATATGGGCCCTACCATAGTTTTTCATTCATATCCCAACTGAAAAGCCCTACAAATTTTCAACCTGGGCCCTACCACGACTTTTAGTTGGAATCCTAACAAAAGTTCCACACAAAAATCTGCCGTGAGCCCAACCACAGTATTTTAATAATATGCCAACCAAAAATTCTTACTTATTTTCAAACTAGGCCCTACCACTACTTTTAGTTGGTATTGTTACGAACATTCCATACAAAATCAGGCGTAAGCCCAACCATAGTATTTTTATTAATATCCCAACTGAAAAGCCCTACAAATTTTCAACCTGGGCCCTACCATGACTTTTAGTTGGAATCCTAACAAAAGTTCCACACAAAAATCTGCCGTGAGCCCAACCACAGTATTTTGATAATATGCCAACTGAAAATTCTTACTTATTTTCAAACTAGGCCCTACTACTACTTTTAGTTGGTATTGTTACGAACATTCCATACAAAATCAGGCGTAAGCTCAACCATAGTATTTTTATTAATATCCCAACTGAAAAGCCCCACAAATTTTCAACCTGGGCCCTACCATGACTTTTAGTTGGAATCCTAACAAAAGTTCCACACAAAAATCTGCCGTGAGCCCAACCACAGTATTTTGATAATATGCCAACTGAAAATTCTTACTTATTTTCAAACTAGGCCCTACCATTACTTTTAGTTGGTATTGTAACGAACATTCCATACAAAATCAGGCATAAGCCCAACCATAGTATTTTTATTAATATCCCAACTGAAAAACCCTACATAGTTTTAACCTGGGCCCTACCACAACTTTTAGTTGGAATCCTAACAAAAGTTCCACATAAAAATCTTCCATGAGCCCAACCAAAGCATTTTGATCGTATGCCAACTGAAAAGTCCTACTAATTTTCAAACTAGGCCCTACCACGAG